CGAGAGCCCCCCCAAATTTGGGGGCTGGGGGGAGGCAAAATATGGGGGGAGACTCCGAAATTTGGGTGGAGGACCCCAAAATTGAGGGAGGACCCTAAGAATTAGGGGGGAGGGTGTCAGGCAGGAACGAGGAGGGTGCAAACTTTGGGTGAGAGACCTCCAAAATTTGGGGTCTTTTGGGGGGGACCAAAACGTGGGGGAGCCCCCAGAATTTGGGGGGGTGGGGTTCACCTGGTTGAGCCTTCCTGGGGGGGTCTCCAGGTGTGTGTGGGGGTCCCCAGGTGTGTGTGGGGTCTCCCCAGGTGTGTGGGGGGGTCCCCAGGTGTGTTTGGGGGGTCCCCAGGTGTGTTTGGGGGTCCCCAGGTGTGTGTGGGGTCTCCCCAGGTGTGTGGGGGGGTCCCCAGGTGTGTGGGGGGTTCCCAGGTGTGTGTGGGGGTCCCCAGGTGTGTGGGGGGTTCCCAGGTGTGGGGGGGGCTCACCAGGTGTGTCCCCCCCCCCCCCAGGTCCCGGGGGTCCCTCAAGGACGTTTTTGGGGTCGACATCGTGGCCGCCGAGTTCGCCTTGTCCTGCGGGGGAGGGGTCAGGTGAGAGACCCTCCCCCTCACATTTTGGGGTGCCCCTGCCCCCCTCCCCCCCTGGAGGGGTGGTCCTGGCCCTGAGACCCCCCTCCCTGGGCAGGTTTTTGGGGCAGGAGAGTTGGATCCGCCCCGAGACCCCCTGGAGGGAGGAGCTGGTGCAGCTGCGGGACCTGCCCGTGGTGGGGCTGGACCTGAGCGGGACCCCCCTGACCTACGAGGGGATGGACAACCTGGGTGAGACCCCCAAAAACCCCCAGGACCCCCAAAACCCCCCCAGGATTCCCCCCTGACCTACGAGGGGCTGGACAACCTGGGTGAGACCCCTAGGACCCCCCTGGGGCCCCAAACCCCTCGAGACCCCTCTGGAACCCCCAAAACCCCCAGGACCCCCCTGGGACCCCCCGGTGACCCTGGTGACCCCCCTGGTGACCCTTGACCCCTGTCCCCCCCCAGTGTCCCTGTCCCAGTTGTCCCAGTTGGAGCTCTCGGGGTGTCCCCAGTGACCCCCTGGTGACCCCTGACCCCTGACCCCAGTGTCCCCAGTGTCCCTGTCCCACCTGGGGACACTGGTGACCCCCCTGGTGACCCCCTGATGACCCCCTGGTGACCCTTGACCCCTGTCCCCCCCAGTGTCCCTGTCCCAGTTGTCCCAGTTGGATCTCTCGGGGTGTCCCCACGTCTGTGACTGGACCCTGGGGCGACTCCACGTCTTCGGGGCCACCCTGCGGCACCTGGGGCTGGCCCGGTGTCCCCTCGTCACCGAGAGGGGCCTGGCCACCCTGCACCACCTCAGGTGAGTCCCCCAGTACGGCCCAGTATGGCCCAGTATCCCCCAGTTCACCCCAGGGGCCTCCTGGTGTCACCTGTGGTTCACTGTCCCAGTGTCCCCCAGTGTCCCCCCAGTGTCCCCCCAGTGTCCCCAGGCCACCCTGCACCACCTCAGGTGAGTCCCCAGTACGGCCCAGTACGGCCCAGTACGGCCCAGTGTGTCCCAGTATCCCCCAGTTCACCCCAGGGTCCTCCCAGTGTCACCTGTGGCCCATTGTCCCAGTGTCCCCCACTGTCCCCCAGTGTCCCCCCAGTGTCCCCAGGCCACCCTGCACCACCTCGGGTGAGTCCCCAGTATGGCCCAGTGTGTCCCAGTATCCCCCAGTTCACCCCAGGG